GAACCAAAAATTTCAACTTTGCTTTCATCATTTCACATAAAAATTTTGCCATTTTTCTTTAGGCCAAGAAACATGCATACGTGCAAATTTTAAACAATTTTCGATGTCTTTTACTCAAAAGTGGCACTTTTCTAGGCGTTCTTGCATTTAAATTGGCATGTATTAATCGTCTTCAAATAGTTGAGGTATTAACATTTATTTCTAGCATTTCTTTCATTTTTCTAGAAGTAATAAATGGCTCCTTTTTTGCTAACGATACAATTCGACGATCTTTTATAACGGTAATTGATCTTTTATTTCCACGTTTTTCTGGTTTGGGCTTCCATTTTGAAGCATTACAAATCATTTTTGGTGAGCATCCAACCAGTTCTTATATTTGTCTGTAGGTTTTACCATGATTTTTAAGATTTATAATTAAGTTACGAACTTCTTCAGTATAATGCTTAGAGCGCCCTATGTTTCTCTAAAATTTCAAAATTTTAGTAAGTGTATAAATTTATCTAATATAAAAATTAATTACTTACTTATTGCTTATTATTAAGAACTAATAATAATTAGAATTTAATAAGTACAGCAATAGTTAAACAAAAATTATATTTTCACTAGTATTTTAATGCACAGTCTAAAAAAAAATACGAATGACCTTCAATCGATAATATTGAAATTTAAAACCATACAGTGCTGCAATTATCTTTCTTAAATTTTTTTTATACTATTATAATCACAACATTTAGTTTATGAACAATAACGATAAAAAACAAACAATAGAAAAACATATTTTGATGTTCAAAGTTTGTTGATAGAAAAATAAAATACACACTACTATTTTACTGCAAACGACTGTAACTTCGAAGCCATTTTATTGTTATATAGTTTATTCCGTAGTATTTTAGTTTTTCAAGCAGGATTTCATGGTCATCATAATATGAATTAAGTGCTTTATCGGTTAACCTCCCTTTTCCTGCTACTGTTTTTCCATCATACAATTTTTTTCCACGTAGACGTTGACGCAGTGCGCGACCACGACTTCCTATCTTTTTTTGGATGTGCTTAATACATTCTGCTTTTTTGATCTCTATATCTTTGTATAGACATGAAGCTAATACTGCAGAATACGATCAGGTATCACCATCACCCAAATAACTAGTATATTGTAACTTAAATTTTTTGACAGACCGATGGAAAATAGTAATTGCTCCTGCACCTTCCATAGCACCAGATGATCTTTGATGATTAGCAAGACATTTATGGTTGGCTTTCCAATCCTAATATTCTGGAGTTCCTTTTTTGCTTATGATGACATAATATGTCATCATAAGCAAAAAAGGAACTCCAGAATATATGATGGAAAAACAGTAGCAGGAAAAGGGAGGTTAACCGATAAAGCACTTAACCTTTTACAAAATTATTTTGGATTTGCTATTAGACAAAATTTAGGTAATATATATCAAATGAAAAAGGCTGTATGGGCAGTGCTTTTTCACAACTCTGATATTAAAGACATGAATATACGTCATCAATTTTGCCCACGAACTATTGCCAGCTGGTGTAAATGGCAACGTGACCATATAATTGGACATAAAACATATAAACCCAAGCTAAGCTTGCCATTAGCAATAAAAAGTATTCTTGTCCCTGTATTCAAAGACTTAAGCAATGAAGAACTACTTGAAAAGTGTCTACACGGTCTTACACAAAACAATAATGAAGCATTAAATGCTATAATCTAGAAACGATGCCCCAAACATTCTTTTGTAAATAGAAGTATTATTGAAATGTCAGTAAATTCTGTAATTATTAATTTTAATGAAGGTACCCATGGAATTATTGATGTTTTAAAAAATTTGGGAATACGTATTGGACATTTTACTCATATCGGATTGATTAACCGTGATAAATGCATAATTAAAAAATGTACAATCAAGTCTTCACTTACTGCAAAATCCCAACGATAGAAGTTGCGCCACCAAAAAAAAGGGTTTAATGATAGGGAAGCTCAGTTAGAACCATGACAAGCTTATTCTGCTGGATTTTATTAGTTTTTCATACTTTATAGTTTACTTTTTTTTGTTATCAAATCTTCTTTTGCGTTTTTCTTTGTTTTTGATTTTTGTTAAACATGGTGTTATTGAAAACATGGTGTTATTGTTATTATTAAACATGGTGTTATTGAAAACATCTTGTTAAGTAGTAAAGCAAATCACTTCAAATTTTCAGGAAATGTTTATTATATTATTTTGTAGGGAATGACATTTCAAAATTCTAAAATTATTCTCCCATCTCCTTATTTATTAGTTTTAAGGCCTAAAAAAAAATTTTTTAATGTTCTATAGAAGAACTGCGATAGTTGTTGATGTAGCCAAATAATCTTAAAATCCCTATGTCAATACCTTAGTTTAGATGTCCTGAACAAGTGCAAAAAATTTCATAGGTTATGCATTAATATATTTCAAGATAATGTGTTTTGAATAGACCCATCAAAAAGACGGTTTTTAATATAAGCGAGGCAAATTAAGCGAGACAAAACAAAGTTAAGTATAAAAAAAGCATTCTCAATTTATATATTTTGCATTAATATCAAATTGATTTTTTTTTTTTCAAGTTTTAAAGAATTTAACATTAACACCACCACCAAAGGCTGTCGACTCGCGTAAAAACTTGTAATTTGTTTACAGAGGATTGTGGGATACCCTGGTAGTATAACATTTAAAAACAAATAAATACGTTGTTTTCAACGTTGATTGCTCTTAAATCATTTTGTAAACTATTCATAAAATAGATCTTATTTTTTTATACTATTTAGACATTATTTTTTTAAATTCCATATTAGAATTATAGGTTTCTCATATAACTTTCTCATAAAAATTCTATATTAGAATTATAGGTTTCTCATTTTTCAAAAGAGCAGCAATATCACAGTGTAGTATTAAATATATCATGTCTTAATAAAGCTTATCGGGTCATAATAATAAACCAATTTGAAAATCTTCGAACGAAACTTGATAAACTAATTTACCATGTAATATTTACATAGCAAGTTATCATTTTCAAGTTTAAAGTTTAAACACACACAGATACATATGTATGCATATATATATATATATATATATATATATATATATATATATATATTTTTTAAATATATAATATATATTTAATATATATATATATATATATATATATATATATATATATATATATATATATATATATATATATATATATATATATATATATATATATATATATATATATATAATATATATATATATATATATATATATATATATAAATAAATAAATGTATGTATGTATTTACATACATTTATAAATAACTACATGATGTATGTATGTATGTATGTATGTTTGTATGTGTGTATATACACACACATTAACTCATAAAATCAAAACAGATTGTTAAAAGAAAAACATAAAGGCATTATTTAATAATTATCAATACTGAAGTTTTTTTTTATTTCCTTTACATAGATCTTGTACAGCCGAATAATAGACAAAATTCTTGTTCTGACAAATATACCAATTTTTTTTGTTATTAGTAAAAAGTATGTTAAAAGCAATCTTTAAATAAAACGTTAAAAGTACAGAATTCCATGATTTTAAATAACATCTAAAAGCTAGGTTTTTAGCACGAAGCCACTTTTCAATAAATTCCATAAACAATGTTAAATAGAATATAACAAATCAATGATATAAACAAAGATTTTGGTGAACAGTTTTGGTTGTTTGTTTTCATATTGGTCTCTAAACCATGCCTAATATCCATCACTTCTCCAAAAAGTATTACCACACACTGTTGACACAGTCAGACCCCTTTTTTAACAAGCTAGATAAATCTGCATGCATTGAACAATAGTTTTCTTCATAAGAATTGATTTTTTTTTGTCAGCAAAAAATAGGCAATCTTGTTTATTTAGTTTTTTTTAAGTGTAAATAAAGCATTTATATGCAGTACAACGCTAAAATCTATTTCTTTAAGACAATTGCTTTTAAAGCTGCTAGTTTATAATGACAACAACAACAAAACATTCAAGTAAGCTAATCCAAATTGTTCGAAAGTCTTTCATTTCAACCATCTTTGCTCTGAATAATTCTAATCAAACTTTCTAAATAATTTTTTTTTAAAGCTCCTGACACCATTTTAACATACTAGTTATTGTAACATTTATTCTCTAATGAGGTAGAGGTTTTAAAATACAAGACATTCATTTCTTAATCCGAAGTTGAAATACCCTCAACAGTAACATGTTATTTTACTTTGTAACGTGTTATTTTGCTTTGTTGTTACATCACATATAGCAGGTTTATCAGCATGAAACTTCTTTGAATTTATTAAATTAAAATGAGTATTATTTTTATCAACAAATTGGTTGGTCAATAAGAAGTCAGTATAACAGTTGACAATTATAACTAATTCAAACAATGCTCCAAGAATTTCATGAATTGTATGACAGATAGAACTGTATTTACGTCTTTCTAATTTATACATCGTCTGAATGTGATGCCATGAGACTATATTTAAAACTTAAATACTGTAGAAATGGTATTATGGAGAAGGCATTTTCCCTCAGTGTTTGTTAAATAAAAATTGAACTTTCAAAATAATTGATGCAAAAATTCCACTCGTATTTGCGCAGTTGGTTGCAGCACAGTGTGAAGGCATCTCTGAACAACAAAGAGTATTATTTATTAAAGAATAACGCAATATAAAACAGAAAACTTTGCAGAGTTTCAGCCAAGTTTGTTGTTGTAAACTTAATTCTTATACTACCAGGACATCCCAGAATGCCTTGCGCATACGATTACACTCTTAACTATGTAAATATTAAAGAGTCGACAGCCCTTGACCACCACCACCACCACCTTAACAGCTTAGAACATGTAATGTAAAACCTCGCTCCCGCCCTTTTATATTACAATTAAAATTAAATATTGTATTATAACACAATTAAAATTAAAATTTCGAAGAGTATAACAAAAATCTAAATCATAACATATAAAGCTACTTTTCAATTTAATTAACAAAAAATCATTTTACTTTCGTTTTACATATTATTCTTATATTTTACAACATTAATTTCACAACTGCATTAGCTAACGTAATACAACTGTAAAATAAATTTTCCACATATAATACTTTAAGATAAAGAAATAAATATAATAATAAAAAACCAATTTATAGAGATCACTAAAGCAAAATATATCAATCTGCATCATAGTTTCGGTTGGCAGTAGAAAAACTTTCACCTCGATTCGATGATGGTTGAATTACCGCTGACATCACCGGCATGTTATTTTGTATCTGAATTAAAGTATGTTGCATGGGTTTTGATTGGTTAGCGTTTAGCGATTGAAAATTAGATGTTTGATATCCATTTACAGCATGAAAACTATTCGAGTTATCTATAGTTCTCGGTGAAACCATTTCATTTTCCATGTCTTTGTCGTCAGATTTTCCTTTTCCAACAAACCTGCCACCCATACTTCTGTTTCGTCGTACAGCGTGTAAATGTCGAGACTCGTGTAGGTATTTCTGTTTAAAAATAAAAACAAATTTAAGAAAGGTTTGAACAAAAGTTCAAATTGAATAGCTAAAATTGCAGCAACCTGGTGCCTAATATTGAATTTAAAAAACCCCAATAGTTCAGCTTTTTAAAAGGTTAAATGAAAATTTTTATAACTTTAACAAGACTATAAAAGAACTTTGAGTATGGGACTCATTAAAAAAATAGTTTTTTATTTCAACGAGTTCTTAAAATAAGAAATGGAATGGAGAGGAAAACTTTTCATTTTATTTTACTTTTAAAAGTTCAGCATTTGGTTCTGATCATCATTAAAAATGGACGTCAAAAGTCATTTATTATCTAAAAATACTTATACCAGCTCGTATTTTTAAGCTCAGTGAGGAAGAAACAGAAAAAGGATGTTTGGATTCATTCGCTTTTTTTACAGAAAGTACTTTTTTACAGAAAGTAGTAATAGTAAGCTGCTAATAATTCTGCTTTTTCAGCTTTCTTTTATTTGATGAGAAAGTTTAAACCAACTGACCTAGAATGTGCAAAAGTAACCATCAAATCCATTAAACATTTCTGAGTAGCTGGTTGTCTTTTCTTTGTTCAACGCTTTTGTGAGTTATGCAGAAAAAACTATGGTGGGTCAGAAAGTTAATGCAATAGCAAGAAAAGAAGTATTCCTTCCTTACAAATCGAAGTTTCTGATTTTAT